AAGGTCTCAAAGCGAGAATATATCCACAAGGCTTGTTTCATATTTACGAGCTCAGACTGATGCTGTGTAGGTAGGTACTATTTTTTTTTACAATTTATGGAAGTGCTGTGATGGGAAATTGCTAGTACTCTGAGCTTTAGATGTTTTTCTGTCTATTCTTGATCCATATGTTTTTTTTTCAGTTGAACCTTTTTTACTAGCTTCTCGCTGTATGCATATCATTAGAGTTTGGCAGTTGGCTCACATTCAGAATTTGTACCATTGGATACTCTGTTTCAATTGTGACTTCCATTCAAGTGTTTTCTACTGACCCGCCAACACCATTTTTGTGTGTTACAGAGCACATTCTCTTCATCTTGGGTATTCATATTAAGGTGTTTGTGCTGTCAGTGCCCTTATGTTTATTAAAGGGACCCTCCCACCTTCAAAAAAGTTAATGAATTGGCATGAAAGTGATGTCGCTCGGTTCAGAAAAAGCGAAAACAAATATCTACCAAATTTCATAGAAAAATATTCACTGGTTTTCAAGATATTAGACTTTTACTCTTGTTTACTTTTTAGGATCTCCTCTGTTCCTAGCGACTTTATTTGAAAGTGCGGCACTTGTTGCGAGCAAAGCGGAATATACCACAGCATGCTACCAAACGTTTTAGTAAAAGATTTAAAATCGTTAGATCTGCTCTGACGTCACAAATTCTAAGGGGGCATTCCAATGCATTAGCCCCTTAGAATCCGAAAACTGCAAGTTTGAGATTCCATATCTCCAAATTAAAGCATTTTTCGATGTCGTGAGTGCCCACTGCCCAAACCGGTATTTTCAGGCCATGGCCACCAATTTGGCTATCTCAACTCAAAACTAATGTTAAGGTGGGATGGTCACTTTAAAGCCTGGTTGTAAAGGTTGCTACTTATGCATTATTGATGCATTAATGCATGAGAAGTTTTGGCATATTACAATTTGACATGGTTTCTATAGCCGTCCAATAGCTATTCTTGCTAAGGTTATATCCTCATCAGGAGGCAATACACTAATATGAAGTGGCTATGCACCGTCTGTGGCTATGGCTGATATGCACCAAATTGTAGAATGCTTAAAAGTGTTTGAGAGAGAACTTACACTTGATGTTTGTTTCAGGTGCTCTCAACAAGATGGCTGATATAATAATATTAAGTGATGATGACTTTACTCCTCCTGCTGCTCAGCAACACAGAAAAGGCACATCAGACAGCAAGAAAGATAAGACTGCAAAACAGTGGAATGACATATTTTCATACAAATCACGTCGAGACAAGGGACACCAGTCACACTATTCCTCTCATCGTTCATCGGAGCGTTCCTCCCATCGTTCGTCGGAGCATTCTTCCAGGGCTTCATCTGATAGGTCGTCTCGGCACTCGAGCCACCGCTCGTCGGATCGTCGGGCGAGCCACCAGTCTCCCTCCCATCGGGACAAAGGTCGGCGCGAAAAGGAGCGGACGTCCTCGGGAAAGAGCATCATCACGCTCTATCTCTCAGACGACGATCAGTCGCCTGCCCGGACTTCTAACAACGCCTCTTCTAAAAAGTCATCTAGCAGGGATCCAAAAGAGAGCACGAGTTCCAAACATTCAAAGAAAAGCTCGCATCATTCTGACAAAAGTTCAAATCACCATCGCTCGGAGAAGAGTTCCGAGGATCGTCACTCGAAATCAGCGAGCCATCATTCTAGCGCAAGTTCTCACAGTAGCCCATCCAAACATCCCTCCGTAAAGGTGACGCTCACTAAGCTCTCTTCTGATAAGGCCTCTGCGAAGGTCTCTTCCTCTGGGGCGAAACCTGCACATGGTGCCACGCCCAGTGGTTCAGAAACTGTCAACGGCCGTCACTCGGGCAGTCGCCGTTCGTTGGCTGCCGAGCTCGGTGTGACCAAAGCTGACTGCAGGCGGGACGATGACGCAGAACGGCTCAAACACCGTGATCGTCGCCTGCCGAACGGCGAGTGCTCCAAGTCTGTCGCGGATGACCGCAACGCTCGCTCCAAACGACCGGCTGGTGATGCTGGCGGCGAGAAGGCCATCCCGGAGCCCAAGCGTGCACGCCTGTGTCGCGTTGACCAGAAGACTGAGGAGACGTTGAAGCCGAAGCCGGAACCGGAACAGAAACCAGAGCCGGACCCCTGTCAGGAGGGCCTGGAGGAGGTGTGCACGCTGCTGAAGCCGCTGCTGTCCGGGCCCGAGCTGAAGATAGAGGCGAAGGTGCGGCGCCGCCACGCTGCCGTGCTGGCGCTGACCAGCGGCCGTCCCGGGCGTGTCCAGCACCTGATCGGTGTGACGCGCCAGTGTGCCGAGCGGCTACGTGCAGAACCGGACCGGTGCTTCACCGTGGTGCGCGGCTTCCTAGAGCAGCTCGACCAGTTCAAGATCGTGGCTTCGTCGGCGCAGAGCCGCACCGCGCCGGGAGCAGCGGTGAAACCAAACGCCGCCGCGGTCAAGACTGATACAGCAACGACGAATAATATCGCCAAAGTCGCAGACAAAGTTGACAAATCGAAGAAAGCTAATGCAGGTGACGCACCGAAGACATCGACCTCACCCTCTGCGACAGTGAACGGCTCTGTGACGCTTTCTGAGGAGGACGAAAAGGAGAAACGTAGACATCGACGTCACGTGGCCAAGTTAGAGAAGACGCTGCGCCGGCTGGAGCGCGAGATCGTGCGTCAGGAGGAGCAGGAGGTGGACTGGGATGACGCCGCCGGCTCGTCCTACATCGTGGGCGCGCGCCTGAAGCGGCGCTACGTGCAGGTGTACCGCTACTACTGCCGGCTAGTGGGTGCCGCCGAGGAGGCTGAGAAGCTCGACTCGCGTCGCATCCGCTTCGACGGCACCCGCTACCCGGAGATCAACCGGCGCATCGAGAAGTTCGTCAACCGCACTCGCGAGTTCCCCGACTTCAAGGACGTGCTGAGTCTGATCGAGCAGGCGAACCAGCGCTGTCGACTGCAGCTCGGCCCGACGGCGCTGCACGACCAGGCCAAGGAGGCGTTCCAGCAGCTCGGGGCGCTGCTGCAGAAGCGGCGCCGCGCCGCGCTCGCAGAGTCCATGGATGCGCTGACCGGCGCCGAGGAGTGGCGCGGCCGCGACCCGTCCGCCGCAGATCCGACTCTGGGCGAGAAGCTAGCTCAGAGCGCCGCTGAGGGTTCCAAGAAGCTCAATGAGGTGTTTAGCGAGTTTGTGCAGCGTCAGGAGACTGTGGATGCTGAGCGGCGGATGAAGCGCGCCGAGACGGACAAGGACGGAGACGGGAAGAAGAAGGAAGAGAACGAGGACGAGGATGAGGATCAGGAGGACGAGGACTCGGAGGAGTCTGAGGTGACTGACGAGGAGCTGGAGGTGAACCGTGAGGAGCCGGCCGGCGCAGACACCTTCGGTTTGGATGATAGTGATCACGAGGACGTCCCGATGGATGTAGAGTTGTTCGAAACAGGGGTTGAAACGACGAAAAGAGATGAAAGCAACGGGACAGTGGATGGACCTGAAAATAAGGTGATGATCAACAGTGGGAAAGACGAGAAGACTGATGCGCCTGATTCGCGTAGCGCGGTAAAGGTTGAAAATGGCACAGCATCTGAGACGATTGTTGATCTAGTGACCTTGTCTTCAGAGTGCAGTGAGGAGGTGGTTTCCGAGTCCAAGAAAGCTGAACTGCCTGCTAAGTCTCCGGACTCGCTTGCTGGGCCTCGGCGCGTCAATGGCGATGTGGTAGAAGTGAGGGAGGGTGTCAGTTCCTCCGGCACGCCAGTCGACGGCCCCGGGGAGAGGGCATGACGCCGCTCCTAAGCAGCGGCCAGTGCCGACCCGGCACGGCGGACGGGGGAGTGGCAGGGGAGGGGGTTGCATGCACACAAACAGTGCATGCACACGAACAGTGCATGCACAGTTGTGTGGGAGTCCGTGTTTGTCGTCGGATGTGCTCGTATTCGATCTGGCATTGAATGTATTATATTGAACGTACTTCCATGTAAATTATAATTATTTGTCGCCTACATCTTGATTCTCGATCTAGCCTTTCAAGAAATATTGAATATTGTATAATGAACCGCTTGGAACGATGATCAGGGTATATTCTTATGATCGCAAGCGACCCGTATCTTCTTTCAAATCGGAGCTGGTAATGTGAAATTGAGCAGGGCTATGATGCTTCCCCAAAACCACAGGATTTGGCGCCTGAGACCGTATCTTCTCGCATGATTGTATTCGTCACCACTGGGCCGTCACTGTTGGGTGTACATTGCAGCGTATGTTGACGCTCACGTGGGTTTGAGGGGGTTGTTTGCCGTGTTCGATGCCGCTACCTATCTCCCGTCTTGCCAGTTGTACAGGGGACTAAGCGTGGAAGGCTCACATGGTGTATGTCTGTATGTTCATGTTTGGAGGACACCGGTGTGATTTCGTAACCCGAGTTCTCGGATATGTAATAAACATATGCCAAAAATCGTATTATGCCTGATATCCCCCGGACCTGGGCTGCCCTGCGCTGGATCCATTGCGCTATCTCGTTTGACCTGCCGTCTGCCACTCACCGAGCTATCACTAGCTTCTACCCACTTTCGGACCAAAAACAGAGCATCGCTCCTCCAGTGACTATTCAACACAGTATGGCTCATAACTACAAGACAGGCCACTACTGATACTGAGCGGGCGTTTTGCTGCATCGCCCCGGTGGCGACAGCGCTGCTGTTATTGTCACACTCTCACCTGCCCGTGATCGGCCGTCAAGACAGGCGCGCCACTCGACTGTTCCCTCCCCGAGACTGACTCCTGAGGTCAGACCAGCTGACCGTCTACTCGGCACCCGCACGGCGTCCCTGACACGGCCTCGACTCTGACGATTGCACAATTCGGCATGCCGGCCGTCTCTCCGAACTCGTCTACATTTCCTGACCAGAGGCCTCTTGCACCAAACTACCTACCTAGGTAAATTCAGATTATACATAGATTCTCTTGCACCAAACTACCTACCAAAAAACGCTACCGTGAAAATTTACCTAGAAATTCTACCGAGCGGCATAAGAACTTACCAATTGTTAAAGCCCGACCGGCTGTTTTCCTCTTGCACCGAAAGCCGGAAAGAAGTACTCGCGGAGGAATTTTTGACGGTTTGACGGTAAACGCGGGTTTCTAAAATAACTAGCAAAAGCTTACGTTAGGGTGCAGGCCCCGTGTAAAGGCGGACATTTGGCCAGATGGGGATTAGAAGAAAAAAAAACATGTTCTTGATATTATCAAGAGCTTTGGAAACTGCATACGTTCCATGCGCTTATGAGACATTTGTTGCGCAGTGTACCCTCCCTGTATAATGTATATTGCCGCCAATTTCTCGGCATTTCCAGCGGTTCAAACGTTTCTTCTGGGTTTTAGGCAATTGCCTGGGTTTCCGTTATTTGAAAAAAGGTGTTTAATCGCCCGATCAATCTAGTGGAAGGGGTGAGTCGGCCAGTGATTTCGAGGTAAGCCACCAATTAAGTGCAGCCTGCTCTTTAGTCTTCATGGATTAGACTGAGATGCTTTTTATTTCTGAGTATAATTATAGCCCCATTAGTGTGACATTGTTCCTCACTTGTTGCAACAAAATTTGTTACTTCTTTATCCATTCATATTCTTTTCCTAAAGCTGTTGTGATTTTTTCGCAACTTGTTCGGTCACAACTCACAACCCTTTCACTAAGCCTTTACGCAAGCCCTTCGTAACCCTTTCGCAGCCTTTTCATAACTTATTTGAAACAGCCCTTTCGTAAACTCATGGTAACCCTTTCTCAGCCTTTTATTAGTTTATTCAGAGTAACCCTTTCATAACTTATTTTTAACTATGTTCAATATTTTCATAGCTCATTCAAAATAACCCTTTCGTAAATTATTTGCAACCCTTTCGCGACATTTTCCTGACTCATTCGAAAGAGGCTTTTCATTAACTTATTGTAACCCTGTCACAGCCCTTTCATAATTCATTTAAAGCAAATTTCTCATAGATTATTTGTGACCCTCTGACAACTTTTTCATATCTCATTCGGAAAGTCTCTTCATTAACTCATTGTAACTCTTTCGGAACCTTTTCGGAACTCTTTTGAAGGAACCCTTTTGCAAATTCTTCATAACTCTTTCACAGCCTTTACATAACTCATTTCAAACAACACTTTTGTTTACTTGTTGAACCCTTTGGCAAAATTTTCATAACTCATTCGCAGTGTCCCAAAATTTGTCAATTTGGGTGGAACAAGACATCCAAATGAAAATAATTTTCCACTCCCACCTCCAACTTTCAATAGCAATTTACCACTCATGAAAGAGCATCTAATTGCATGATCGCATCAGATTCTACCATTGTACAGGAAAGTGCAATTTTTCCTTCTTCTGTTCTTTATTTCAATTTTTTTGGGGGGCGGGGCTAACCTTATCAAGAATATACCACCCTCATCCCTTTTTTTGGAGAGGAATTTTCCCCTCTAACACCCAAGCATTAATATAATTTTGTGATGAGTCATTCGACACTGCCCTTTTGTAAATTATTTGGAACCCTTTCACAACATTTTCATAACTTGTTTGAAGTGATTCTTTCATAACTACCTTTGACATCAGCTTCCCGAGTATGTATTGATCTTCCCTATTTAACATTGATGCAACGAGTAGTGCCTACTAAATTTATTAGTATGCCATTACCACCCAATGCCATTACAACATGCTGCTGAAATCAGAACATGTGTCACTCATGTGCAGTTTCAAGAATTGTTGTGGTGGCTCTGCAGTCTGCAACCCACTTCATTAAACGGCTGCCTGTTAACTCCTCAGATAGTAGGCATATGCTTCTAGCCTGCATATATTGATTCAGGCTGCTTTGAAGAATTGACTTACTTTCTTTGAAATTGGTATCCCATTTGTCAAGTACCTAGGTAGTATGCTCTTTTTCTGGGCTGATTCATAGTAGTGTCAGTGTCAGTTATCAGTTTGTATTTATTGTTTAACAAATAAGAATATTACCATCAGGCTGTTCACGCATGAATGTGAAGTTTCACTAGTGGGGACCGAAATTCCTCATAATATCTTTTAACCTAGGGCTAAGGGGTTTTAAATATGAGCCTTCTGGTGAATGACAGTGACACTGAAGAAAATGTTTTTGTGACAATTTGGCTTTTCTTTACAGATGAGTGCGACACCTACGTGCATCAACGTTTAGTGGACCTAAAGGACATCGTCAGCACCGAGATTTGCCAGCTGGAAACGCAGTGGGGCTACACGCAATGGAGGCACGCGTACCACTCGTCCTAGACAAAGAAACGTCCTCCGTGCTTCCGACGAACTTCAATCGGCGCGAAATTCCTAAACCTCGAGTCACGAGTTCATTCGGAGTAAAAAAGCATGCCGAGGAAAAATCACTGTTCGGGACGAAAAGAAGAGTTCAGTAATTTAGATAAAGCCGGCCGTCACAAAATCATATTGTTCTTGTTTTTGCCCTCCTGCCATGGATTTCCTCGGCCTCCAAAGCGGGATGCAGCTGCGACTGCTACTTCTAAAGTGTGTAAAAGTCATGAACCTATAGGACGATAAGTCGTGATCTCGATTAACTTCGCCACGAGGTTGCGAACTTAATGAAAATGTTCCTGTCGGTGTTCTTGTTGTCCATGATCGGCCCGTTTTTTTTTTCTTCTTCGTATTCAGTTATTTCATGTTTGCGATTTAACTACTGGGCGGGCAGAATCTATGCAAGTGTTTACCCAACAACCTGTTGAAAAACAGGACGGAATGTGACATGCCTTGACGCAGGACGGCCGCCGACTGTTGAAGGCAGCTAAAAATTGTTATGTGACTTGAATTGCGAGCGAATGTGCACCTATCAAAATGTTGGCGCATCAGAATCTGGTGCGTGAGCGTGCGTGTCAAAATGTGTTTATGTGACTGCATTAGATTTGTGATAAATGTATTGATATGCTACTTGCGAAGAATATACATTATATATTTACGTGACGTTGATTGCGTCAATATGAAGAGATTGAACATGAAAATAACTGGCCCGCACCCTGACAGGTATCTCCCATCGCCGCCATGCCTAGGTACCTACATGTTTGGATCATGCCTACTGATACTTTGATTAGATAGTCAATTTTTAAGATTAAGTAAATTATGTTCAGGTAAGTGAAGTTCCCCAATTTTACTCTTATTTGAAACGCTTAAGTAGCCACATTCGAAAGAAATAGCTTTAGCGTTTGTCCCCTCACCCTAAAAATCATTTTTGCCCGGATAAGGCCTGAGACCGCTATTGCACCCAGTGATTGGCAATGAAGACAGGGGGTAAAAGCAGCTTAGGCTAGGCGCAATGGGGGTATGGGTACCATCATTCGAATAGCAATTAATTGCTGTTTGATTATCTACTGGGGCATTAACGTAATATTCAAATTTGACTGAGTTGTAAGCATTGAAATATAGTAAAAGTGTATGTTATATCGACCGATAACGAAAACAATCGCGTCAAAAGTAGCATAAGCCATCACTGACTTGTGGCTAATATACATTTTTAGAAAGCTTACTTTGTGGGCTTTCGTATTCCGGTGGGGCATTTATCGAAGGTGTCATTTATTCATTAATTTTATTAGTTAATTATGGTGATACCACAATTTTGCCTAGTGCTTGCTTATCAAGACACGAGAAAAAAGTAGCTTAGGGTAGGCACCATTGAGGCATGCGTAACATCATTCGAACGGCAATTAATTGATGTTTAAATATCTACTGGGGCATTAACGTAATATTCAAATTTGACTGAGTTGTACGCATTGGAATAAAGTAAAAGTGTATGTTATATCGACCGATAACGAAAACAATCGCGTCAAAAGTAGCATAAGCCATCACTGACTTGTGACTAATATGCATTTTTAGAAAGCTTACTTTGTGGGCTTTCATATTCCGGTGGGGCATTTATCGAATGCGAAATATGTGCAATGATATTATTAGTTAATTGAAGGGATGCAATTATTTACTAATCAAATTATCCATTAAAATACCTATTTACATCGCGAGATGTATCATGAAATTAAGCTATAATATGAAATGCATTTTTCTTAAATTTTCAGTAAAGGTTTCGTTCATGGGCGGCGCCACCGGGGGGGACGGGGGGGACAGGTCCCCCGCTATCGAAAGTTAGGGGGGTACAGTACCCCCCTATCGGCGAGGCCCGTTCAATAGTTGATAATAATGCATTATAGAGCTGTCCGTCGCATTTAATGCATCGCTGGTTAATCAAGGCAGGTTCTGAATAAAGATTGCTGTTGGGATGCATCGCAGGGGGTCCTGGCCATCTGCAAAAGGTGTGGAGCTGTGATGCCTGTAGTTATAAGGTGATCGGCAGGGCCTCGGGGATCGTGCCCCCTTTTTGGGGCGCCAGGCAGGGTTATTACTTATTACCTCCCCACCCCACTGCCAGACCCCATTGCCGATAAAACCAAGTTCACTGAAATTCCATAGATTTCCGTTACTATATGAAAATTTTCCATTCCTAATTAGTCAAATTCAAGCATGGCAGTTCTACCACAGGAACCATTTGAAATATATGCCATTTAACCCCAGCACTTGTGGGGAGAAGTGTTCGGATAGATCACAGGCAGGACCAAAAAAGCACGCAGTAGCCCAAGACCTTATAATTGGATATAGCATCGGCTCCCTCTCGTCAAGGGGTTCGATAGCACTCGTTTTTTTTTCTGCAAAGCTAAGTTCGGTCGGCGGCCGAACGGCTGGGGGTCTAATCGAGCCCCCCATCCCTCCCCTTCTTACGTCAGCGGCTATGAAAATGCCATTACCAGCTGTTGAAACATGGCAGTTGCTTTTGCATGAGTGCACGAAAGGGTTTTAGGTCCGTGATACGTGAAAGTTTCTACATGAAAATTGAGATACACCAGCTTATCAAATTGTGCTCACTGTGGTGCGCTCGGTTTTGCCTTGACTAGTCTTTGAATTCTGGGGTGAAACAGACCAGTCAAGAAACCTGTTCCATAAGGAGAGCCACTAATGCTAAAGAGATGTGGGATGAGGTTTCCAGAGACCTTCATTACCTCCCAAAGGGGGTGCCCCGCCATTTGCCAATCCCTGCTGTAGTTGTTACGATTGGAGGGTGAATATGAGAACGATGCAGGTCGTGCCAGCTCGATCATGACGAACACAATGGTGCCGACATCACAGCTCTACTGCCATTTTTGACGAAGTTAATCAACAAGGACCGGAATCCTACCCTGGGGCATTTCACCTGCAGAGGTCGCCGGACCTGAGACCCTTTCACTCAATTTTTTTTTTCAACGGTGCATGCGCTCGTTTTTCCCGCGAAGCTCTTGGCAAGTAAAATCCATCAGAAAGTGTGATCAAATAACGGCTGGTGACCTTCCATGACCTAGCATGGCCTTTTGAGGGACGCCGGTGAAAACAGGGCGCCGGAGGGCATATTATTCACGTGACATTTGGAACTTTTCCCGCTCTACGGGCCTTCTATATGGCAAACGTCACGTGTAAATTTCACGAACCTTGATCAAATCGCCCCAGGCGCCCTGTTTTCACCGTTGTCCCTTTTGAGTGACCACCGATGACATGACCACTGACGGCTAGCCATTAGCTGCACCCTGCCCGTTGCATATGGATCAGGTGGTGATGTCATGATTCTCAAATTATATTGCAGTTTTGGCGCACTTGTCAGAGCAGAAGACATTCCCACTTTTCCTCCATGACTATATGATGGTGAAGCCCTGAAGCTGACCAGACGTAAGATCGAAAATTTGAATGTACGAAACGTAAGAATAGCTGGCACTGCTACTCATACCTAAGCAATTCGCAGCTTGTAGGACACCAGCTTTGAGTTGGCAAGACTGCAAATTTTGATTTAGAGGCAAGGATGCTTGAAAAGGTGATCGATCTTAGGTGTCCTAGGATAAGTTTGGAAACGGGATGCACCATTCGATGTGTTTTGGCCTTTGGGCCTTGCCAAGTTTCGCGGCGTTACGTGCCTCTTTTTTTTTTGCATACACGATCAGTATCTACTTTTGGGATTTTCGATTTTCGGTCCCCGTCCCCCCCTATCGAAAACCCGTGGCGCCGCCCCTGGTTTCGTTGACGCATAACGTATCGTTACTAAATAATTTGAATTAACGTGCGATCCGTTGCGATAGTTCCGACCAGCCGCCGATGGTGGCGCTGGTGTCGCTCCGGCCGTTATGGCCGCGGCCGCCGCCTATCGAGGTAAAATGATTCAATTAGTAACAATAGGCACAATACATGATAATCCACGGGTACTAGGGTGGCACTTAAAAATCGATTTTTGATTTTTAATGCGTGCGGGTGGTTTAACGGTTCCATTCCCGTCAAAAATAAGGTAGGCAAATTTTTGTGGGAAAATATTGATATTTAGAGGTCGCGAATCGAAGTCAAAGTTGAGATTTTTGTAGGAAATTTCGATATCATCAAATTCTGTTCTGACTATGCTATGTAACTGTATTTGGATGATAATAAGGCATTTCTTAGTCATTTTCATATTGTTTATCGATATTCCACGCATTTCGGTCACACCGGACCACTGGTCTATGTACTACGCTACTCCAGTTCCCCCCTTTTGTAGATTATTGGCGCCTCATTGGAGGGAGGGATATCATGGGCAGTGGACACCCAGATCCCTTTGTGTGTGACCTGGGTAGCAGTTGCAGCCGATCTTCGGGCTTCAGGCTAGCGTTTTCTGTTATCTTTAACGACATGGAGGATAACTGGCGCTTATCTTCGTCTTTCATGAGTGCCAGGCCTACATCAGTGCCGCACCGCGCCTGGTGAAGTCATTCACCGCCCGTAGCTCCCGGACCACATGAGCGGCGCGTTGGTAGCTACTGTCCTCCCAGTGGTCTTGGTCATTGATGATGAGCCCTGCGTCCAGGTCGTGGATCCTTGAGAGCTGTTTGAACGATGGTGTGAGGAAGCTCGCCAACGTCTTGGTCGCGAGAGCGGCGTTAATGGTGTCCACTAAGGGCTTGTGGGGCGGGTCCTCGTCCTCCCTCTCCTGCAAGTCTATTACCCACACCATGACTTGATTGATCCCGAGGGTCTGGGTCGAAAAGCTCCAGTCACCAGCCGATCATTTAAGTACTACAGGTGACGGTCGAAGACCGGGACTGTCGCCTTCGACAGCTCCTTGTCGGGGTAGGTGCAGAGCGCATTCACGAAGGTCAGGTCCCGAGCGGGCGCAGTAGCGGGGAGTAGAGTCTGAGACCAGGCGTCGGCGGCGGCGGCGTACGTGCAGAGTGCAGACGACGACAGAGCACAGCGTCTGATGACCTGGGCCTCGGCCGCCGTCAGCCGGAACTGCTCCCTGAAGAGAAAGACATCCACAGGGCGGATGACCTTTGCCATCCACATAACAGTGGAGTACTCTGGGGCGAAGAAGCGGATGCCGTGCTTTGGAACTCCACCGAGAGCAATTACGCAGAGCTCCAGAAGTTTTTGGTAGTCTTCCCGGAGCTGGGCGTAGTCGAAGAAGCGGCGGAAGCTGACCAGCAGCTCGTCCCACTCCGGGACGTCGCGTCGACGGCGAAACGATCCAGGGCCGATCCAACTTTTGCTCGATGAGGGCTAAATCTCCGTTCACCAGCATGCTGTTCGCCGTCGTGGTGTCGAAGGAAAAGGCTGCAGATTCGCTTCTCCAGCTCCTAGTCCCCCACTGCTGTGAGCACATGACCTGTGCTTGGATGGACGGGAGTTTGGGAACGGCGATGAGCTTTGACACCCTGCCCCCCTCTCCAACACCAGCACGAAGAATCTCTCCAACACCAGCACGAAGAATCGGTCGACGCTCCTACCCTCGCGGTTCAGGACTCGCGGTTCAGCCGAAAACGTATCCTAAGTTCCGAGCCGCAGTTGATAGCAGGTTCACGTGTTCTCCACACATTACGGTTGGACAGTTGGGTCCAGTCGAGGCTAGTTCACTGTTGGGGACGCCCACTCGCCCCCATGCGCTTACCCGCGTGAGTCGACGTTTAGATTTTCTATAAATGGTCGCCATCGTCGAAGACGTTCTCTTCGTGTGCGCGCCGCACATCATATACGAATTAAGTCTGTTGCTGGCACTGGCTCTAGAGACGGAAGAAGCGCCCATGGAAGAACTTCCCGAAATCACAATAGACCGGTGCAGCTCAATGCACACTCTCGCCTCTGCTTTCGTCCGTCTGCGATTGGTTGACTCCAACTTCTTTTTCACCTTCTCTTTGGCAGAAAAGGGACATATCTCGCATAGAGCACCGGTCGCAGGCCAAAACGGGCCTGGCATGGGTAAAACAGCCCAGGTCAGACCTGTTTTGGCCTGACCTGGACTGGCTACAACCGGCCGGAAGTGATGGGATAAGCAATTGCTTAACAAATTAAGGCCAAAATACGTCGGAAATGACGTTTGATGACCGCAAATGTTATTTCACAAAGGTTTTAAACAGTTTCAAAAAAAGTTGATTTTCCCCCAAAACTGTAAACTTTGACCTCAATTCGCGACCCCTAAATATCAATATTTTTCAAAATCATTTTGCACACATTATTTTTTACGGGGATGGAACCAGAAAACCACCCGCACGCCTAAAAATCGGATAACATAAAATTCACCTTATTGCTAAGTGCCACCCTAACGGGTACTTTTATGTAAACTAGGCATTACAAAATGTTTAGACAATGATAAATCAATGTTTTATGAGTGAATAATAAAACAATTGACCAAATGCTCCATGGGTTCACAGAGGTGCTTCTCCGTACCAAAGCGATTCCTCCGTAGCAGAACAGCCAGGTTGAAGACTCACTCGTTGCCATGGAAACGAAGCTTATTTGTTCCAGTAATTTAATAGCAAAATAACTTCTATCGGTATTTACGTAAATGAAAAATGATTTCATAATACCAAAATGTAGGTATATCAGTAAAAACAATATCCATTTAATTGTTTTCTTTAGTTACTATTTGTTTGCGCCCACAAATAATTCGTCGCCAAACAGCCAATCAAAACAAATCCTAAAACGCGAGCTGTCAAATTTACCTAGATAGGTCATAGGTAGGTAGGATGGTGCAAGAGAAGTTACCGCCGTAGGTAGTTTTACTAGGTAGGTATTTTGCCGATTCTACCTAGCTAGGTATTTTGGTGCAAGAGGCCTCAGGCGTCCCGCAGTCGCCTCGCTCTCATACATGGCTCAAAGCAAACACAGATCCACCGACACCAAAACGCACATGATCCATTCAGATAAAACGTCAAAACTTTCGTGGCAGTCGCTTCCTTCCGCTCAATACGTCGCCTAATTATACCATCGGAAGTGCTCACTTCCGGTTGACGGCCTGGCCGGTGACCTTGTGCGGCAGCTGAACGAACGGCGAGACGCCGCGCACCATGTTGTGACCCAGGTCGTCGCTGTAGATGTCGTAGGACAGGTGCTCCATGCCGATCTCTGGGTCGGTCTTGGCCGCGTGCACGGCGTCGTCGATCTCTTTCCGGATCTCGGTGTCCATCTCCTGAGAACCGGCAGAGCCGGAGGGTGTGAAACGTCTGCGACTGGACTATAAGCAACGAGTTACGCAAACTTTTGACACATGAAACATACTTTGGTATTTTGGTGACGTCCAAACATTGGATATAAGCAACGTGACAATCAAGCGTTAGCAGTGAACCCGATTTTGCTGGCTACAGAGGAACCCAAACTAATCGCGATTAAACCAAGTGAGCGTTACAGGCTGCAGAGAGCAGCAGTTTTGAAAAACTGCCCCACAATTTACTCGGGTTTGTTCATTTTTTTCAAAAGAAAAAAATCAAACGAATCACATTGTTAGCTACTGAACACGAACCTTCGGTTATCATCACACAATATAGATCTCTACATACCTATGTAGAGGTCTAATGCATCACACAGATCCCATCTTACCTTGAGCTCGTCGGCAGTGACGAGATCGGCGCCGAGGATCTTGTCGCGGAACGAGGTGATGGGGTCGCGGTTCTGACGCACCTCCTGGATCTCGGCGCGGGTCCGGTACGAGGTGCCCGGGTCCGACATCGAGTGGCCAGAGTACCTGCCAGACGGGGTAGGGGTAAATGGGGCGTCAGTGCCGGACTGCTGACGTGGAAAGTCAGTGCCGCCTCCGCCATTGCAGGGAAGTGACTACGAGAGGGGCTAGGGGTGGCAGAATATGTAAAAGGAAATGTTGACATTATTGGAATACGAGATGGCGGAACGGATTGATCGACTCCGAACAGATATTCTCCAGCAGCATTGACCAACCACGTTGTTTGTAGATATCAGCAGCACAACTATGATGCAAGAGAAACAACAGGCTATGAAACAAACTTCGTTACACCAGTCATTTGCAGCATTTTCAGATGCAGGTAGTCAACACAACCTGAAGAAGTAGAACTCTAACACGTCTGAATCAAACGCCTGCATCTTCGTTATTCAAAGCAATAGCAGTTTGGTAATTGGTGGGTGCAGCCCCGTTACCTGTAAGTCTCCGTTTCCATGACGACGGGTCCGTTTCCGTTTCGGCACTGCTCTGCGGCCCAGCGGGTGGCCTCCCTGACGGCCAGCACGTCCATACCATCCACCTGGGGACAGAAGATAGACAAAGACACGTTATCACCCGTCCCTGACGGCCAACGTCAATAACGTCCACCTGGGGACAGAAGATAGACAGACACGTCATCAGCCGTCCTTTACGGCAGCTCGCACGTCCATACCATCCACCTGGGGACAGAGGACAGAGAGGGACAGTTTCACCACCAGCCCCCCGCACAGGGTCCTTCCCTCAATGACGACAATGCACTCGTTGATCACACAATCATACAGATAGCGATTTCGACTGTCAGGATCGATGGCCACTGGTCATGAATGTATTTACTCTATCGTAACCTACCCACCCACCGCGGCACCTCCCTCCCCCAAGCGTCGCCACTTGCTGCACACCCACCTTGATGCCCTGGATGAGGTCGCCGCGCGTGTAGTAGTCGGTGTTGTGCGAGCTGCGAGACACGGCCGTGCCCATGCCGTAGTGGTTGTTCTCGCAGACGAAGATGACTGGCAGGTCCCAGAGCGCAGCCATGTTCATAGCCTCGAACAGTTGGCCCTGTGGACGGAGACGCCACGGTTATCGGTGACCATGTAGGGTAAGGTTGTTGGACGAATATGAAAACCAATCGGTTAATTTGAGCATCAGGTTGAAATCCCTCTGCGCCCTCCATCCTCGGCAAATAATAATGGAATGCCAACGGCTAGAACGATTATGAATGAAGTGTAGTTCGGCTGGCTGGAAAATTCAGGAGACAGCGGCCTTCAACATATCAGAGGGTTCCAGTCCTGCGAGACCGATCGACGGCCATCCGTACCTGATTGGCGGCTCCGTCTCCGTACAGTGTCAGGCACACGTTGCCAGTTTTGTTGTACTTGTGCGCCAGAGCGATACCGGCTCCCATCGGGCACTGCCGGTGTCAGATAAAGGTGTCAGACAACGGTGTCAGGCAAGTGTCAGACGATACCTAGCGTCAAAATATCAATTGTCACGTATCAGGCTATCTATCCTTTCCAGACAAAGGCGAGAAGCAATACGAGCGAATAATACAGCCATGAATACTGAATAGACATTTTGGTTCCTTAATAAGTATTGTATTACACCAGAATACTTCATCGGCCCACCTTGCCCCTAACCACTATGTCGCATTATCCCTCCCATCCCTCGCGCCCCTCAAACCGCCACGAGCCCGAGCGCGTCCGTCCATACCTGTGCACCCACGATGCCGTTTCCTCCGTAAAAGTTGGGCGCGTACATGTGCATGGAGCCGCCCTTGCCACGCGCACAGCCAGACACTTTTCCCGTCAGCTCGGCCAGCACCTGGTGGTTATGTAGGAGGAGATGGTGATGTTATTTTTCAGAGGAAAGGGGATATGAACGCTGTATTTACTTTTTATCACACAAACCTATCTTCAATGGGATTGTATTACGAGACGTTTCTATTTCAGTAGAAAAGAAAACTTTATCGCATGTACTGCCAGCCGCGAAACAAAGTAGGTACTCAACTTTACTGTAAAAATGTGCTTGTATGTAGCATTCCATACATCAGACCCTATCAGTTGGCAAAACTCTATGCACTCGAGGATTTGAACCCGCGTTCCCAGGCGACTATACCATCCGGTCGCACGCACCTCCTTTGGCGCGGCGCCCATCTCGTAGGTCCAGCCGTGGCAGCGGTACGCCGTGATGACAGAGTCGCCCTCGATCAAGGCCGCCTTCATGCCCACACAGTTGGCCTCCTGCCGACAGCCACCAACCACACAGACACGGTCAGCGAGATGGTGACGTGACATCAGGGCCCTGTTTCACCGGCGATAGCAGCACGCTATCAAATTGCGCGAGCTGACGTAATGTGATGAGGTCACACTAATGACGTTTCGTGTAATCCGTGAGCTGCGTTTGGACAGAGTTGCTGTCTCGTTGAATGCGTTTGATAACATTTCTTTGATCGCACGGCCGTGAAGATGTTAGCAGCAATATTTGATGACATCACACAGATTGACGGCGTCATGGTTTGTTGATGTTTCCATGGAAACCCAATTTGACACGTGTGATAGCAGCGTGCTGCTATCACCGGTGAAACAGGGCCCAGGTGGGCGGTCAGCTGGTGCGTGACGTCATCGATGGAGAATAATGGAAAGTGGAGTGGGAGCGGGTGGAGCACGGCAGCAGGAGATTGACCTACAACAAACACAATGGGGTTCGTTTTCTTGTTTGGTTGTACAGTGACTGGTGAGCCTGGTGGGCTATATTAAAAAAAAAAAAACAGCGGCTGCTATGTCCATCTCAAATATATTCGCGAGGACAGAGCAGAGCGCCAACCTTCGAGTCCCCACGGTTCTAGCAAACGTCTCACAACTCTGCACATGGGTGGCCGCCGGCCAATAGGCCTCACCTGTCCCGAGTAGAGGTGGCAGAAGCCGCGGATTGCCTTCTCCTTGTACAGGTTGCCGGCGGCCGTCTCCATGCGTCGGATCGTCTGCATGCGCCGGTACAGCTTGAGCGCATCGTCACGCGTCAGCGACACAGTCGCAGACGGCTCCGTCTCGGCGCGGTGCATCAAGGACGGCTGCCGATAGAGACATCTGGTGAGCGACCGAGAAACTAAAGCTTCATAGGATGCTCACTGGTCGTAGCCGGAGTGATACGCGGCTTTCACGGGCGCTTTTCATGCAGCTGATGTGTGAGCTTACGTAACGAATATAAACATTTATAACACCACAAGAGGAGGCAATCGCTGATCAAAGATATTCCAACACTCTCTCGACCAAAATCAAGAAACAAACAAAAGGCAATGAAGGAGTCACATGCCTTGCTTAACAAATGTCAAACAGTGTAATAAGCTACCTACTCGGATTGATAGGTAGGTGCCTTTCTCTAAACCACTCATTCAATGCCACATCAATGAGACTGAAATAAGAGTTTGGGACCAGTCTGATACCTCCACCACAAAGCACAGTCACAGAAAAGAACAGAAACAAACGGCCAGTCCGGGCGTCACTTACCTTGGTTTCGAACGTGTGCTCTGTGCTGAGGTTTTTTGCCGAGGTCACCAGCGGAGAGACAAGTTTCTGAAATAGACCAGGCAGCAACAGCGTTATAACGATTGTATCCGATCATATCCTCAAAAGGACGTACAGCCTTCAGGATCAGCGGAGCCAAGACGAGGCCGAATTACGTCCAATCTAGCAATAGAGTAACGTCCAAACCTTTCCCAACTTTGCTGATAGGCGAAGTTGGGAAAGGTTTGGAATTGATAAGTTATTTTCATAGGTAATGTTTTGAGCATTAGGTTGTTAAACCTGGTATCAGTGGCGGATCCAGAGGGGGGGGGGGTGAGGCCATGCCCCCCCCCCCTTGGGCCTCCCGGGGGCACCATCACGGAGGTTTTTTTTTTATTTCATCACGGAGGCCACCGACGGGAGCTTCAACCCAAAGGTCTCCTAAGGGGCATCATCCAGAAGATCTATCGGAATAGGGTACCGTTTTCGGGGTCTCCCGGAGGCCCATTTCTGTCCCTCGCCTCGGGTGGGGCTATTTCCATCCCGAGGTCCGCGGGGGCACCATCCCGAGTTCTCCGTGGGCACCATCCCAAGGTCGGAGGGGGCACCATCTCGAGGGTCCGGGGTAGTGTTGGAAATGAGGCCTCTTACTGGTCCCAGTGTTTTATTCTCCGAGTGGGTTAACCCCGTCCAGCGTTTAGCCTTTCGGGACCCACTCAGGGTCGCAGTTGTTTTCGCCGCTCGCCCCAGTCGAGGTGCAAAGTGAAAAGTCACATGAAGCTTATTTAGGGACAGCCAAACCACCCTAGTCCGGAGTTACTGCTAAATATATGCATATAGATGAAAGAAAAAGTTTTTGTAGAATCGATTTATTTCGAAGTCATATATTCAGAGGCCCCGAATAAACGTCGTGCGACTATCAACTTTGCATCTCGATTGGGCGGAGCGGCGAAAACAACCGCGGCTCTGAGCGGGTCCCGAAAGGCTAAGCGCTATACGGGGTTAACCTACTCGGATAATAAAATGCCGGGACCAGAAAGAGACCACTCCGGGGGCATCATCCCGAGGTGTCTGGTGGCACCATCCCGAGGTGTGGGGGCACCATCCCGAGGTCTGAGGGCAGAGGGGGCACCATCCCGAAGTCTCCGGGGGGGGGGGGGGGCACCATTCCAAGTTTCCATGGGCACCATTTCGAAATCCGAGGTATGAAGGAGCACTCTCCCCGGGTCTGAGGGGGCACCATCCCGAAAAGTAAGTGGCCGAAATTCGTGGATTTTTTTTGGGGGGGCACCAAATGCCAGGGGGCACAATACCGCATGCCCCCCCCCCTTGACGAAATCCTGGATCCGCCACTGCCTGGTATGTCCGCACATTAAGGAAATGTCACAAGATTTATAGGATAACAAAGTTAAGGTTCATCTTTTTTGTAATGACCACTTGGCCGATAAAAAAGGGCAAAGATGAGCGGGAAATAGTAAACAAGAAAATAGCTTGCAACCACATTGTGACTGCGATTCCAACGCTACATTTAACAAACATGACATCAACCGAAGAAACATTGGCATGCTAAGTGAAACACCTGACCACAATTGAACACAATACAGGCATAAATCTAGCTAAGTATTACAATGACGGTCAAATTCAAAGGGTTGGCAGAAGTGCAGAACTGAATGAAAATGAAGGGACAATGGTTCCAAATATTGCAGTGTTTTCAACCAAAGAAGAATCGCAGCAAAAATATTCTGAGGTCATGAGAAATCATGCCGTGAAAGCGTGAAACAAACACCTCTGGAAACGGAAAAGCAAATGCAAGCCAAAGCCAATGAACATTGCAAAACGTGCTCGTTTACATCCGAGAGTGAGAGTTCGTCCAGCAGATACACTGGCAGTGTGTCTAGTATTTACAAAGTACGCTTTATTCGCGTTCCATGGAGATGAACATTTTCACGTGATACTGACATTTCATCCATCGAAAAATATCCGACTTCGTCGGCTTTTGAGTTTCAGGGTATATGTTTTCATTTCGTCTGTCTAAGATTGTCAAGTCAGAATCAACTTTTGCTTCTTCAAAAGCGCCAGCCTGGGCACTTTTTTAACCTAGAGCGAATCTCTAAACAAGAACATTGTCAAACTGCGAAATGTCCTATCTAGAATGTAAGCTCATTAAACACATTGAGATGTGTTCTGGATGCTCCTTTGTCGACTGCCATCATGTGATTTCGTAATCCGTTCGCCTACATGGGTGCGTAAGATAAAGGGGAATAATATCTATCACATATCAATTAATATTTGATTGAAAACGTCAAATATCCCAATGATCGTTGTACAGATGGTTAAAAATTTATTGTAGCTCAACCTTACACAGGAATTACTATGCATTGTGGAGGTCTTGACATTAGAGACATGATTGTAAATCTATATGGGACAGACGACCGAACGGCGAACGTAAGTGTGATCGGACGCGTCAACTAATTCACCAAGCCGGTGATCCTACCAGTCACTGATCGTATAAGTCAGGGGTCAGCGCCGACTGCCTTGGCAATTCAAACACATCAATGTTTGGCTTAGGAATTATTCAAGGCTCACTCGTTGAGCTAACCAGCCTGGTGCGGGCTATTGGAGCGAAATAACTAGACACACTACCATGTGATGATCGTTTGCGAGAACAGGAATATACTAAGTAGAGTAGCAAGGCAATTACGTGATGCATTATGTGGCATAAACGAGAAAAACGCTAAACCTGCCTAGTGCAGCATAAATGAAAAAGGAATGCTTGGAACGAATCATATAAATGTAAACTTAGCACTGCCTGTTCGGTCTCTACCAGTGAATCGTCGACAAAGTCGCCGTATCCAAAGTCCGGTGCCTTCCATGAAGCCAGCTGCCGATAGCGCACATGGCGACATTTTATCACACTGCTTTTTGCTTCTGTCCCTAGTTCAGCATTAGTAAATCGCATAGGAAGGCATAAAGAAGCTTGATAGGCAAAAAGGAGCTCCTTCCAATTGGGAGTGCCCCATACAGTGCACAGTGAAAATATGTGACACAATCTTATTACGGAGCGAGCGAAGCGAGCGGAGTCTTACGTAGAATAACGGAAATTTCTGAGTATGAGCGGCCGGCCGGCCGGCCGGCCGTGGTCACAATTCTGCGACGCTTATATGTATCTCAGCAACCACTTGACCGATTTACATGCGGTAATTTTTGTAGGGTAGCTTAATTCCTTCTACCAAGTGTTGGACTATTCCCGATGCATGTCGGTGACCCCTTATGCACGTGCCACGTGCAAAACGAAGAGGTGTCACTTTTGTAATTGTTGCAATATCTCGGTAACTACTTGGACGATTGCGCTGAAAGTTGGCATGCAGGTAGGCACCCACTAGGCAATGCATATCCATGTGCCGGAGTTGGGGTGCTGCTGCACGTGCGCACGTGCAGGGGTCGATTCCAGATCTCGAGAACGGCTGGACCGATGGCGCTCAAATTTGGTGCATGGCTAGGGACCGGTTAGTAGGGTGCCGTGCAAAAATCAGTTGGGACCCATTTTGCACGTGCGCACGTGCAGGGTGCCGCTTCCAGATCTTGAGAACGGCTCGGCTGATTGTGCTCAAATTTGGCACATCGCTAGAGACCGGTTAGTAGGGTGCCGTGCACACTGCACAAGTCAGCTGGAGGTACCCCCTCGAAATTTCGCACGTGCAAGGCTCACCCTCTCGCTCGCTCCGTTAGTCGCCCCAAAAGGCGTTATACTGGTAAGCTATGTTTCATGTTGTCATGCATGTACCCTGACACAAGTGGAATAAATATCTATAGTTTTGAAGTCTGTAGTAATACAGCAGAACTCAATTTCAAAAACTTTGACACAAAGCAAGCTGGTTGGTTGGAAGGGACTGAGGCATATAAATCTCTTATTAACAGTCCACAATGGCATTGAAAAACAAACACTAACCTCAACACTTTATTTGTAATGACCAACATTGACCAATCAGAACATATAACTCTTACCAGTTGCCATATGATATGAAAGCAGGGAGCTTATATCCATTGTGACACACATGGATTATGACAGATAAATGATGCCAGTTCAGTAAAAAAGTGGTGATTCTTTGTTGAATAAAGCACAGTTATGGCTAATAGCTATGTATAATGCAAGATTGTAATGCAAAAAAAAATGGAGAAAGAAATCGGTCAGTTACAGATCCACAGAGGTTAGTGCAGGCAGTTTGATAAGAATCAAATGATAAATAATAATAAATGGTGCAACTTACCTGTCTCATAGGCTGGGTTCGAAAGCTGCCAGCAATTCTGGATGCAAGCATGGTGATGGTTTTGCTATATGCTGCTGATATAGAGCTGTCAAAAAAGGTACTGGGTAATAATTTGGAAATGAAATAAAGAAACATGTACCTGTATAGTCTGTTTTTATTCAAGAGGACTCTGGCTCCAAACATGTTTTCCAAATAAGAATGTATCTTAGCCAGCAAAGCTGAAACAGGCAAAAACTGAGCCTGGGAAAATCAAACGTCGACTAATTCTAACATGTGATTCCTTCCTGATAATTTCGGTATCGGTAACCCTGGCGTCACCGGTAATGTTTTCGTTCAAAGTTAGGATTTCCTGTATTAGGCGCCGAGCCAGGCCGAAGCATGCTGTGACGTCACTGGAAGAGAAGATAACTTACCACGCTTTTAGATTCAGGTCGACTCAGACTGACTCAAACTAACTCAGACCGACTCAAACTAACTCAGACCGACTCAACCGACTCAAATCGATTCCGATCGACTCAAATCGAACCGACTCAAATTGATTCCGATCGACTCAGACAGACTCAGAACGACTCAGGCAGACTGAAACTGACTCGGCCGACTCAAACCGATTCAGATCGACTCAGGCCGACTCAGATAGACTCAGAACGACTCAGACTGACTCGGATCGACTCAACCGACTCAAATCGATTCCGATCGACTCAGACAGACTCAGAACGACTCAGGCAGACTGAAACTGACTCGGCCGACTCAAACCGATTCAGATCGACTCAGGCCGACTCAGATAGACTCAGAACGACTCAGACTGACTCGGATCGACTCAACCGACTCAAATCGATTCCGATCGACTCAGACAGACTCAGAACGACTCAAACCGACTCAGGCAGACTCAAACTGACTCGACCGACTCAAACCAATTCAGATCGACACAGACCGACTCAGATAGACTCAGAACGACTTAGACTGACTCAGACTGACTCAAATTGATTCTGATCGACTCAGACAGACTCAGAACGACTCAAACCGACTCAGGCAGACTCAAACCGACTCAGGCAGACTCAAACTGACTGGACCGACTCAAACCGATTCAGATCGACTCAGACCGACTCAGATAGACTCAGAACGACTCAAACTGACTCAGATCGACTCAACCGACTCAAATCGATTCCGATCGACTCAGACAGACTCAGAACAACTCAGACAGACTCAGGTAGACTCAAACCGACTCAACCGACTCAAGCCGATTTAGACAGACTCAGACAGACCCATTGGTTTGACCTGAATCATCAGACCTGAATCGGTTTGAGTCGGTCGAGTCAGTTTGAGTGTGCCTGAGTCGGCTTGAGTCTGTCTGAGGTTGTCTGAGTCATTCGGAATCGATTTGAGTCAGTTGAGTCGGTCTGAGTCAGTTTGAGTCGTTCTGAGTCTATCTGAGTCGATCTGAATCGGTCTGAGTCTGCCTGAGTCGGTTTGAGTCTGCCTGAGCCGGTTTCAGTCTGCCTGAGTCTGTCTGAGTCGTTCTGAGTCGATCGGAATCGATTTGAGTCGGTTGAGTGGGTCTGAGTCAGTTTGAGTCGTTCTGAGTCGGTCTGAGTCTGCCTGAGTCGGTTTGAGTCTGCCTGAGTCGGTTTGAGTCTGCCTGAGTCGTTCTGAGTCTGTCTGAGTCGTTCTGAGTCTGTCTGAATCGATCGGAACGATTTGAGTCGGTTGAGTCGTTCTGGGTCAGTTTGAGTCCTTCTGAGTCTATCTGAGTCGGTCTGAGTCGATCTGAATCGGTCTGAGTCTGCCTGAGTCTGTCTGAGTCGTTCGGAATCGATTTGAGTCGATCGATTTGAGTCGGTTGAGTCGGTCTGAGTTAGTTTGAGTCAGTCTGAGTAGATCTGAATCGGTTTGAGTCGGTCGAGTCAGTTTGAGTCTGCCTGAGTCGATTTGAGTCCGCCTGAGTTGTTCTTTACGTTATCTTCTCTTACCCAGTGACAGTCTGGGAAACTATGGTAAAATCTGCTATTTTTAGCAGTCTGCTATTTTTAACAGAAATCTGCTAAAAATGGGTAGGTACGCATGTGACGTCATCGTACCAAAATATAGCAGATTTGGGCACGGCCCCATACAAAAGCAGATCTGCACCCTAATTGAAGCAAATGCGCATCAAATGCCTGGCAGATTCATGATTAGAATAGTGCTGAGAATGTCCTCTGATATTTTTGTTCAGATCCGACTATTTTCAAATAATGAATTTGAAAATAGTCCGATCTGAACAAAAATAGCAGAGATCACTCTCAGCACTATTTTCATCATGAATCTGCCAGGCATTTGATGCGCATTTGCTTCAATTAGGGTGTAGATCTGCTTTTGTATGGGGCCGTACCCAAATCTGCTATATTTGGGTACGATGACGTCACATGCGTACCCATTTTTGGCAGATTTGTCAAAAATAGCAGGCTGCTAAAAATAGCAGATTTTGCCATAGTTTCCCCGACTGGTGACATCACAGCATGCTTCGGCCTGGCACGGCGGCCTGATACAGGAAACCTTAGCCTTGAATGAAAAAGCTACCGGTGACGCCAGGGTTACCGATACCATAATTTCCATAGATGTATTTCGGAGCTAGATATTAGAACAGTGGTGATGTCATGCTGTCAAACTTGCATTGCAATGCAATGCATAAATTGCAATGCATAACTACCATGGATGGACAGACCCGCTCTCTTGATTCTAACCTTGGTAACAATGAAAATGAAATTTTCCTCAAATTTGTTGACACTTTGTGCAATTGTATGGACATTGGGTGCCAGCTGCCACCAGTGACATCATCTAAGTATGCTCATTTTTGCAGGCACAATTTCCAGGAATTCACTGAGCAAAATTTGAAATGTAATATTATTGCAGTAAGAAATTATTGGCCAGCACTGATGCTGCCAAAACTGAAAACTCACATGAGAGCTTCAATAATAAACTTGGAGCCAGAGTTCTTTTGAATAAAAAATACTATAATTACCACGATTTCTTAACAATCAGATTATCATTAAGTCACACATTATTGGAAAGGCTGATGACTGAATCTCTCTGGGCAGGTGCTCGAAACAATCACCCTGCTTCGTGCAACGCCTCCTTGATCTAAGTTTTAAGCGATAACGGGGAACATCCGGTTTAAGCCACTGTACCCTCAAGTCAGAAGAAAGCTACCGCTCCACTGCACCCAGGGGGGTACGCTCCGGCTGTTTAGCATTACGAAAAGTGGTGACAGACGTTTGTGGAGGATTGTCGACGAACTCTTGTTCCGCGAGCAGCACTCACGCGCTAGCGGAAAATCCACCAATCAGCGCTCGGCAGTGCTCGACGCTGATTGGCCCGACGCTCGTGACGAAATTGCGGGGGACCGCAGTTATTCTCTATGGACCCGAATAGGCTTTTGGATTTCGGTGGGGTTTCTTTTAGATTATATGCTGTTTCGAGCTGTTTTCGAGTTGAAATATATTTCTTATGACTGTTAGCTATATAATGGCACCATAAAATCATGATTTTGATTAATATTACCGATGTAATATCGGCCCAAAAGACATGCTGTCATGGCACGGACTGCCCTGCGGCTGATGTGGGGCCCCTAGTGCCAGCGTATGGTAATGATGGGTTGACGAAGGGTTATTGGAGACTCTTAGAGCCCCACCAGGATTCAGTATAGGGTCATCAGGGCCGGGAACGTCCATCAGGGGTCTGAGTAGGCCTGCCATAGGGGCATACATGATACATGACACATCATGGAACATGGGTCAATCTAGATCCATTAGGGGCCGTTGAAGGGCCATCATTGTTCAGCGTGGGCCCGCAATTACCTCTGATGGGCATATGCCGTGCCCCGATGGACTAACGCTGGCCCCTGATAAAACATCACCAGCCACTGATACTTGATAGGTCTACAAAGCCCCCTGCTGGGTCTAAATTGGTCACTGATATGCCCAAATGGGCCACTGAGAAACCCGTACAACATCCCCTGACTGCACCTGATGGACCAATGCCGTTCCCTCATGGGCCCACCACGGCTCTTGAATGGCCTCTTCAAGTCCCTGAAGCGCCTTTATTGGCCTAAATGGACCCCTGATTGGCTTATGTGGTCCCTAATGGTCCTATATGGCCCCCATGAGCCCTCAACGTCCCTAAACAGCCTTACATTATATGCCACCGGCCCCTGGTAGGCCTGCACTGGACCCGCTGGGCCTATACCGACCCATAAAGGGCCCATGTCGAGCCCTCATGGACCTCCGATGACCACACGCCGGTATGTGTGGCCCCATATCAGGAGTGGTCCGTCTATCCCATGTATGTACTTACGGTCTTTTTGGCCGATGTGACACCGGTAGTATATAGAAATGTCATGATTAAATGTCGTTATTATATAGTCAAAGGTCACGGAAAGAATATCCAAGCTCAAAAATGGCCTCAAACCCAACAAAAACTGATACAAATCCCTTTCAAAAGTCATAATTCTATTAAACGCCATAGGGTTATAGCTGCAGTCCCCCGCAATTTCGTCACGAGCATCGGGCCAATCAGCGTTGATTATTGGCGAGCGCCGATTGGTCGATTTCCGCTAGCTTGTAAATGCTGCTTGCGGATATAGTCTTGAACAAGTGAGGGTCGCGGCAACTAATCATCGCTTGTCACCACTTTTTCGTCGGGAGCGTTCTACCTGGTTTATATAGCCTTGACTGCACCTATATAAAATATCCCCGCCAAGAACACCCACACTCTCACACAGGGGGGTACGCTCCGGCTGTTTAGCATTACAAAAAATGGTGACAGACGTTTGTGGAGGATTGTCGACGAACTCTTGTTCCGCGAGCAGTACTTACACGCTAGCGGAAAATTCACCAATCAGCGCTCGGCAATACTCGACGCTGATTGGTCCGACGCTCGTGACGAAATTGCGGGGGACCGCAGTTCTTCTCTATGGACCCGAATAGGCTTTTGGATTTCGGAGGAGTTTCTTTAAAATTATATGCTGTTTGGAGCTGTTTTCGAGTTGAAATATATTTCTTATGACTGTTAGCTATATAATGACACCATAAAATCATGATTTTAATAAATATTACCGATGTAATATCGGCCGAAAAGACATGCTGTCATGGCACGGACTGCCGTGCGGCTGATGTGGGGCCCCTAGTGCCAGCGTATGGTAATAATGGGTTGACGAAGGGTAATTGGAGAAACTTAGAGCCCCATCAGCATTCAGTATAGGGTCATCAGAGGCCGGGAATGTCCATCAGGGGTCTGAGTAGGCCTGTCATAGGGGCATACATGACACATCATGGCCCATGGGTCAATGTAGATCCATTAGGGGCCGTTGAAGGGCCATCATTGTTCAGCGTGGGCTCGCAATTACCTCTGATGGGCATATGCCGTGCCCCGATGGACTAACGCTGGCCCCTGATGAACCATCACCAGCCCCTGATAGGTCTACAAAGCCCCCTGCTGGGTCCAAATTGGTCACTGATATGCCCAAATCATCAAATGGGCCACTGAGAAACCCGTACAACATCCCCTGACTGCACCTGATGGACCAATGCCGTCCCCTCATGGGCCCACCACGGCTCTTGAATGGCCTCTTCAAGTCCCTGAAGCGCCTTTATTGGCCTAAATGGACCCCTGATTTGCTTATGTGGTCCCTAATGGTCCTATATGGCCCCCATGAGCCCTCAACGTCCCGAGACAGCCTTACATTATATGCCACCGGCCCCTGGTAGGCCTGCACTGAACCCACTGGGCCTATACCGACCCATAAAGGGCCCATGTCGAGCCCTCATGGGCCTCCGATGACCACACGCCGGCATGCGTGGCCCCATCAGCAGTGGTCCGTCTATCCCATGTACTTACGGTCTTTTTGGCCGATGTGACACCGGTAGTATATAGAAATGTTATGATTAAATGTCGTTATTACACAGTCAAAAGTCACAGAAAGAATATCCAAGCTCAAAAATGGCCTCAAACCCAACAAAAACTGGTATAAATCCCCTTCAAAAGCCGTAAGTCTATTAAACGCCATAGGGGAATAGCTACAGTCCCCCGCAATTTCGTCACGAGCATCGGGCCAATCAGCGTCGAGTATTGCCGAACGCCGATTGGTCGATTTCCGCTAGCCTGTAAATGCTGCTTGTGGATATAGTTTTGAACAAGTGAGGGTCGCGGCTACTAATTATCGCTTGTCACCACTTTTTCGTCGGGAACGTTCTACCTGGTTTATATAGCCTTGCTCTCACACCACCCGAGCCGAGGATGCAGCAGTCGGAAAGAAGGAAAATGAGAATAGCGCTATAGCCCAAAGATTTTGTAGAGCAGACAGTCATTGACGCAGATGTGACAAATAAAATACTTTTCATGTCCGTCAAACTAGTAGCAGCTTCACATGCGCAAGGACATTCGACCGCCCCCCCCCCCCCCCCCACTATGCGTTCGGGCCGACCACGGTGACAAAACACTAAACAAAACACTAATACTGGGGCGGGTCAAAACAAATACCCTCATCAAGTTTGCATTCTGTGGGTTACAGACCTGATCGTTCTGCTTCTTTAATATAATACATTTATACGATTTATACCCAAAATGAAGACGCCCAAAACGAAAATAACGTTGAATCAAGTGATGAAAAGATCTGCCGTGATTGTGAATGGCGTGAAAGAAAGTCAATAGAAAACAGTATATGTAATGTATATGTTGCAGGCCGTATGAAAACTCAGTCCGTTTGCAAACGGCCTGGTCCGATTCAGGCCGTTTGAAAACGGCCTGGACAGCCCAGTCAGTATGCAAACGGACTGAAAAGTCAGGCCATTTGAATACGGGCTGAAATTTCAGGCTGTATGCCAACCGCCTGAAACTTCAGGCCGTTTGGAAACCGTCTAGGCCGTATGACAACTTTCGAGACACCAGGCCGTTTGCAAACGGTCTAGGCACTTTGGAAACAATCTGGTCTGCATGAACTTATAGCTGGACAATGTTGAGTTTGTTGAAGCACGACCGTTTCATGACATTACATGGTACCATAAAATCCTGGTCAGGAAGAGATTAGCAGAACTTCAACTGAGGCCCGGCCCGTATAGCGCCCGGTCGACCCGGGCTTCCCCCGGACTTCAAAGTTTCGCCTTCCACCGCAATGGTCATAAATTGCCGGCGTAGGTACGCCACTGCACCGGCCAGCCGCCGGCGGTCGACTGGGCGCGGTGAGGACCTGGATATGATGAAGTTTTCATATAACACTACCATAACGCCTACCTTAATTTGTCCTGGTTCTACCCCGACTAAACCCTCTATCGTTTATCCCTCGTCCGTACTGGTGTTTTTCCAGCCGCGAACGGGGGGTCCGTTGGACCCCCCCTTGCCGTTTCGCTCCTGATTGAGCTAGAGCTTCGCGGAAAAAAACGAGCGTGCTGCCCGTGACGAGAGGAAGCTGATGTGATACCCAATTTTAATTAACCCTCGCCGGCACAGGCCATTTTGAGTCCTTCGACGGCACAAGGGGGGGGGGGGTTGGTACGACCCCCCTCGCGTTTGGCCCCTGATCGAGCTAGAGCTTCCCGGAAAAAACGAGCGTGTTGCCCGTCACGAGAGGAAGCCGATGATACCAATTGTAAGGTCCTAGGTCATCGGGTGACCTTCCAGGTCAGGTCAATGAACCGAAAACCGGGAAAATCGGGACCTGTTAGAAAGTCGTAAAGTGTGGCTGCTATGTGGTTTTCCGGGGTGCTGATCACGAATATCGTGTTAGTTTTGATCAGAGATGATGTTTTTAAGCATTTAGACCAGGTCGGGTCAGGTCAGGTCAGGTCAACCGGTAGGGGTTGTGACGGGTATTCGTAATACGTGTCAACCGTCTCTGACAGCTTCGTAACATGTTACGAAGGCACCAAAACTACTTCGTAAATGTTCAAATGGTTGCCAAATTCGAATTCAGCTCCAAAAACTAGCCTAGAAACATGTAAAACTCGAAAAAGTGAACCGAGGTCACCCGAGGTCACCAAAGGTCAATGACCTGACCTGACCTTCAGGTGACCTTGACACCCACCCTAATGCATGGGAGCAACATCAAATCACATGTTTGAACGTTTGAAACCACGAAAAGCTTGCAAACGCGCGGCTAATGCGAGCCGACATGCGCCGAACCGCGATTTCGGCCAAACATGGTCACAAAAAGAGGTCACAGGTCAAAGGACATTGGGGTCAGGGTCATGAAATTTTAACTGGTAGGTGTAAAATTGATCAATGCGAGGGTACTGAAAGTTTCGTCGCGATCGGCCGCTTTTTACGAGAGTTATTCGCGAAAAACCTTAGGGGGGGGGGTTGCATCAACCCCCCCCCCCCCTGTGCCGGCGAGGGTTAAGGTCCTAGGTGATCGGTTGACCTTCCAGGTCAGGTCAATGACCCAAAAGTCGGGAAAATCGTGACCTGTTAGAACGTCGTAAAGGGTGGCTGCTATGGGTTTTTTTCGGGGATGCTGATCACGAACATCATGTTAGTTATGATCATAGATGATGTCTTCATGCATTTAGGCCAGGTCGGGTCAGGTTAGGTCAAGTCAATCAGTAAGGGTTTTGCCGGGTATTCATAGTAGGTGGCAACCGCCTCTGACAGCTTCGTAACATGTTACGAAGGCACTAAAACTGCTTCGTAAATGTTCAAATGGTTGCTAAACTCGAATTCAGCTCCAAAGACTAGCCTAACAACATGTAAAACTCGAAAAAGTGAAACGAGGTCATCAAAGGTCAGTGACCTGACCTGACCTTCCGGTGACCTTGACACCCGCTCTAATGCATGGGAGCAACATCATATCCCATGTTTGAACGCTTGAAACCACGAAAAGACTGCAAACGCGAGGCTAATGCGAGCCCGGAGCCGACATACGCCGAATCGCGATTCCGGACAAACATGGTCTCGAAAAGTAGGTCACAGGTCAAAGGTCATTAGGGTCAGGGTCATGAAATTTTCAGGGCAGGTGTAAAATTGATCAACTCGAGGGAAATGATAGTGTCATTGCGATTGGCCGCTTTTTACGCGACTTATTCGTGAAAAACCGAGGAGTCCCTTCGACCCCCCCCCCCCTATACGGGCGAGGGTTATATTCAGGATTCTGCTCTTTTCCCCTCCAAGCGGGGCCTCAAGTTTTCCCTCCCCCTCCCCTCCTCCACACACCAATTAATACGAAACGGCACCCCCAAACAAAAAGCAGAAGTGCATCAGCATCACTTTGCTTACGTCGCCCTATGTACATACCTACTGCCCAGGGGTGTCGATTTTTCAAAATGGTTGGGGGTGCTCAACCCCTGCACCGGGTGAAAGATTGCAGCTTTGCCATGGGGCACAACCGTGCAAGGCATAGTTGGGTATCCCCATAAGGTACTGATAATCACGGGATTTCCCCCCCCCCCCCATCAGGTTCAGGGGCCCATCGGGTTATTCGGGCCTGAGGGGCCCTGCGGCGCCAATTGGCCGCTGAGGGTCCACGTTGGCTATATTTAGACTCAGAAGGGCCGCACAGGGCTCGTAAGAACACCTCATGGGCCCACAAGTACCAACATTAAGATCTCCATAAGGGCCCCAAGCCAGCCTCTGAGGGCCACTTGCCGGCCTCTGGGGGTCTTAACCGGCCTATAGGGGGCCAGCTCTAGGAGCTGCACACCCGCCTATATGGCCCCACACCCATTTCTCTCAGGGCCCATATAACGGCGACTGTAAGGGCCCTCACCGGCGCCCCTGAGCGCCACACCGGCGTCCCTGAGGGCCCCACACCCCTAACTCTGAGGCCCTACACCAATGCCTTTAAAAACCCTACATGGGCGGTTCTGAGGGCCATTGTCAGTTACCAGCGACCCTGACGGCTCACACAGGTGACTCGGAGGGTCCCAGCGGCGTCTGAGCGCACCATGCCAGTCTCTGAGAACCCCACAAGGCTTCTGAAGGTACCGGTGACCTCTTGATATCTTTTTGTCGGCCTATGAAGGGTCCGTTCCGTAACAGCAGTTCTGAGGGCCCCACGCGCGCCTGTGATGGCCCTAAACCAGTGTCTCTGAGAGCCCCCACAACGGCGCCTGTGAGGGCCGTCACCGGCGACTGCGAAGCCCCCACACCGGCGCCTCCAGTCCGAGGGCCCCACATTGCCATATCTGAGGGCCCCACACTAGTGCCTCTTAAGGCCCTATATCGGCGGCTCTGAGGGCCCAGCATCGTAGCTTCTGAAGGCCCCACTAGTGCGCATGTGACGGCCACTCTGCCACCGGTGACATTTGAAGGCCCCACACCGGCGACTCTGAGGGCCCCATCGGCGTCTGAGTCCGTTCCGGTCTCTAAAGACGACCCCACAGGGTTTCTGAAGGTACCACCGGCCTCTGATGGCCCTTTGCCGGCCTCTGAGGGCCCGTCGCCGGTCTCTGGAGCCCCCTGCCGGCTTGTAAAGGGTACGCACCAGCAGCTCTACCTAAGAGTCCGACACCCGTGTACGTCGGACCAACACAAGTGTCTTTGCAATTTAACGTCTTTTTTTCGCCCTTCTTCTTAAAACTAACTTTTCTTTTCTTTACATCTTTATTTCATGCCTTGTAAATTGCGTAATTGTTTTATTTTTTGTAGTGAAAGACTGCAGAACAATTATTTTCCTCAAGCAGAGTTAAAGTGGGAGTTATTGAGGGACAAAATCATTGGGGGTGCCCGGAAAACCATTGGGGGTGCTCATTTGAGCATTGGGGGTGCTGCAGCACCCCCAAAGGTATACAAATCGACACCCATGCTACTGCCTGTGGTGGCTTCACCAGGCTCCATCAACTGGATGGCCGTACACAGGCGGACCGTGAACTTGTATAATTAGTAATATTGTCGGGAAAACGGCCGGGCCGAGCATCTGCACGATAAGAAAATGTTCGACGTAGACGAGTCATTCGGCAGAATGCGCAAGCATTCATGGATGGATACGACAACTCAAGAAACTCAAGATTACCAACCGATATTTATTTTAAAATTACTTTTAAATACCCAAAGCTTTCGGTCACATACGACCTTGATCACTGTGTTTCACAATTCGTATGTGATCAAGGTCGTATGTGACCGAAAGCTTTGGGTATTTAAAAGTAATTTTAAAATAAATATCGGTTGGTAATCTTGAGTTTCTTGAGTTGTCGTTATCCAACTGTCATGGATACTTTACATGGATGGATACACCCTGATCATCGACCAACCTGGATCCATTAAGTTATCTTCAGAGGGTGTTGTGCTTCGCTAGACCGTATGAAAACTGACTAGGCCGTTTTCAAACTGTCTAGGCCGTTTCAAACTGTCTAGTGTCTAGGCCGTTTTCATACGGCCTTGATATTTCAAGCGGTTTGCAAACGGCCGGCTTTTTCAGGCCGTTTTCAAACGGCCTGACTGGGCCAGGCCGTTTGCAAACGGACTGGGTTTTCATACGGTCTGTAACATATAGTCGACTACACAACGGCGTTTGATAGCCCCAATAGGGAACTACCTTGTGACGAAATTTCATTGACCTAGGTCAAACCGATGACGTCACAGGTCAGGTCAAAGGTCGGATTTTCACCGTTCACAGGCATTTCAAGAAATGTGTTGTGAAATCGAGTAAATTGGTAAGTTATTGAAAACCATCGATGGTACAATGTTCGTCAAACACATACTTCGCTATATGAGGTCACTGATACCAGGTCAGGTCACAGGTCAGGTCAAAGAGGTCAGGTCACTTGGGGTCACAATATGAAAGTGTCGTGTGATACATGTTTTATGGTCCATTTTATATGACAAATGCGATTATGCGGGTCAGGAAGCCTTTGGGGCCAGCTTAGGTCACGGTTTGGTGAAGGTCAGAGGTCAAGGTCAGGTCAAATTATGTCAAATTTCAAAGTTGATATTTTTGCATAAAATGGGTATTGATTCGATGCAGCTCGTCACGGGGAGTCCAATGGTGGTCTCTGTTTTGCCCCAAGTAGTCTAGAATGGCCAAAAATTGAGTTTGAAAATTTGACGTCATCATTTTTGAACAGTTTTTTCGCTATAACTTGGCCAAAAAAAAAACGAGATATCGATCTGAAATTTGGTATGTAGATCATAGAAGACGGTAGGTACTATCACATATATTCCGGTTTTTTCGAAACTCAAAAACTCCTTGAGTTTTTGGCTAATATATCAAAAAAAAATGCTTTTTTGATTTTTGTGGGTCAAAACTAAAAAAAAATCAAAAATCCGAGATAGCAGTTTTGTAGCCCTGTCAATTCTACACCTGTTATGTCTGATCATTTTTCTGTATCTTTAAAGCTGTAGGCCTGACAGCTCTTCTCGCGAAGGTCTTTTTTCGGTCGAAAATGGCAGAACATGACGTCATTCTGACGTCATTTGTGGCCAGCCTATCACAGCCTCTGTAAAAATGTTTGGTCACAACAAGATGTGTAAAATTGATGTCCGGAGGGGTCCTGAAAGTTTGGTGGCGATATCTCTAGCCGACAGCCGTTTAGGAGATATCGACGGAAAAGGACAGGGGGGCCGTTTCGCCCCCCCCCCTACGGGGCGCGGGTTAAGTGTCGATTGTGAGCATTGGGAATAGCCTTGATTGGGACCACATTGGGACAAAGCTATAATTTGTGAACTCAGGTCTCAGCTCGTGTGATGCAGCACAGCCTACCACTCCAGGCAAATAATTGCCTGTGAAAAGTGGAACATCATTCTGTAGTCGACTTTACACTATTAGTAAAGTAATCTTCAGCATACACGCCTCGCAAAAAAAACCGCACCTAATCCACGGTATACAGAGAACTAATCACTATTACAAATGAGCCAAATCATCAATCAAAGGCAAATGAGTCAAGGGCAAATGAGTAGCAAATAATTGAGCAAAATCAAGAGCATTAAAATAAGCGCACCGAAAGCACATTTTCTTGGTAATTAATTTAGAAGTTATTTTGTTTTCATTTATTGCATTCCATTTGAAGGATAAGCCATTTGTGAATTATTTGAGCACCTTCTTAGTATTTGTTGATGTTTTGTTTTAAGAATGCTTTATTTTAATTTATATTTCCGCTTTATGTGCTTCACTTTCATTTTCCCGCTTAAAATTCAGTTGCCATGGCAATTATCGTCTGCTTGCAGCACGTGCAGATCTATTGTTGTCGGTCATTCGCGGTCTGCTTGTCGTCGTGTGCGTGTGTCTCGTAATTTAAGTTTTGATTTTGGTGGTAAATCCCTCTTTCGATTTAAGCATGATGTCCGTCAAAGGTATTGCAGCTGCACTGCTCGTGCTTGCATTGGTTTCGTACCAGGTGTACGCTCAAGAAGCGGCGGAGACTACCCCTGCCGCTGATGGTGCAGCTGCTGCTGGTGGAGACGCGGCCACTGCGACTGAGGCCGCCGCCGGCGGTGACGCTGGTGGTGACGCTGGCGGTGATGCTGGTGGTGACGATGCTGGGGCGGCTGGAACGACAGCAGCTGCAGCAGATGGAGAAGGGGGCACTGAAGCCCCGGCCGCTGCCGAAGGAGACGTTACAACTGCTGCAAGCGGTGAGTGGCATTACCAGTGTTTTTAACATGGTCTTTGTTTCTAACAAAGATCCATATTTACTACCGCTGGTTGCGCATGAAGGGTAACGCTTATCACGCCTTGTCCGAGCTAGCCATGATCAGATGCTGGTGTCAAAAACTATTGCATACTTCAGTCAATTGATCGTTCACTTTGCCCATCTATAATAGCTACACGGGCGGTCGTCTTTCGCAGTTTGCGCTTAGGTTGTACTGCCGATTCTGGTCACTAGTATTGTCCCCCCTTCCCCGCAGGTGCCGGCGAATTGCAAGCCTTGACCAAGTTTGTAGCTGTCATGGTGGCTGTGTCTCTGGGCCTTCTGGCAAAGAATGATTAGCTGGTGGTAACTACGAGAACACCACGAAAATGCAGTTTTGCACAACTCGGGTATCCGGGAAATCTGGAAGTGGCCATAGGGCGAGGTTAACCAAAGGCATCGCTTCGAGCGATTCGCTGAAGGTGATCGAACGGCGAGATGCAACATTAGAGTCGACCACGCATAGGTCGTCTGGAGGGTGGCATGAATTATGTAGTAATGACAGCTTGCTTCGATGGACGCACAGACGTGCGGATTTTGAGTGGTACCTACTTCGATTAGTTTAGCACATGACAACAATAAAGCAATGTGATTAGATTACCTGTTTGTAAGCTTGTCTTGGTGTGTGGCAATCAGAGGCAGCTGAGAAATGAGAGCCTGGTGTACGGTACTTAAAATTTTGTGCCTGGTATCGTCGTGGGAATATTCGTAGTATGCAACCGATAAGGGTCATTGCCCTGAGAATGAACAAGCGAGACATTTGGCCCTGCACACTCGAAAGAGCGATACGAAACCTCCAACTAACCAACTAACTTACATGCCACGTCTGCCTTCCCGATCCCTTGCTCCGATCTGTGGAACGGTGTGGCGTGTGCGAAGTGATTTGTCTGGGAGGGGGGGAGGCATTAATTTAGCCGGTTTCTAGCGGTTTACCAAGTTTGAGCTCGATAGGCCAAGCCGTTCCGAGATGTGGAAGCAGGGCCCCGCGCGTAAGCAAGTGCAAACGACCCCGACGGACTTCCATGGGGCACCGGCCAAAACAATTGAGCGCGAGGCCGGTTTAGTGAATTTTGAACGTAGCGCCCCTGCCGCTCGAGATACGTAAGCGACCCATGCACGCGCACACGTGTAGTAGCGCCCTAACCGTAATGTAATGGCAATCCGTACAGTAGCGGCGGAAAACCTTCAATTAAGGGGGGACGCTGCCGACTTTTGGCCCCATTCTTACCATGCAACGCCCATAGGGCTGTTAACACGCGCACCGACGGGGGTCTGCGCCAACTTCGCACCGACGGGGGGGGGGGGGTGGCGGATGACCGCCCCCCATGAGATCTCGAGAACGAACCAAGATAGTGACAAGCGGTAAACCGCAAGGGATACGCACGGACAAGGTCTACAATTTTTACAAAGGTCATTTTCAGGTCAGGTCAAAGATGACGTCCCAGGGGTCAAAAAAGTCAATGGCGGCGGTAGGTATGGAGTTTTTCTCAAATAACTCTCGAACTAGTCAATATAGGAACAAACTAAGGGCATCATCGTGATCCTCTCGTCAATCCGCAGCGAATGATATATATGTTGACCTCGAAAGGTCAAGGTCAAAGGTTGACCTCAGGTCACGTGACCTCGAGGTCATCATGTACATCATTCGATGCGCCTTGACGAGCTGAACACAATGAGACCATCCGCGCGGCTGTATCTTGTTCCTGTACGGAGTTATTGTCAGAAAACCGCTGGTGACCTTTGATGACGTCACATGACCTTACAGCTGCCCAACAGCAAAACAGACCTCAAGGTAGTGAAGGTTGATCGTAGATGAGGTTATGTATGGTTTATGGGGCCATTCCGACCCGTTTTAGTGGCAAAAAACAGGGAGTTGATTTTTCCCCCATTGACTTATAATGGGGAGGTCGAGAAATTGACCTGACCTTAGGTCATCGATATCAAAATTCCGAGATATACAAATTGTAGCTACTAATGACCTTATAACATTTTAAGGAATTGAATGCTGTAACTGAGCGTGAGCATGATTAAGATTATGGTGAAGTTAGATTATAGATAAATATAGTGTCTGAAAATGTAGTACCTACCTACCGTAAAGTGGACTGGGGCTATTTGAGACAGTATTTAAAATCGCTATAAAATGAAGAGCATTTGATTTTTGTGTGATATTTTTGTTCAGGGAGGTGTGGAATCGAGGAGTAGGTAAATCGCCTGAGCAAAAAAAAAAGAGCATAAATTTTAAGTGGTTTTTGTTTATAGCAATTTTAAATACTGTCTCAAATAGCCCCACTGTCTCAAATAGCCCCACCTTACGGTAGTCTGGATGCTCATGAGTAAGCTTATATGTTTTAGAGAAGAGTTGTATAATATTTCGAGCACGGCTCGAAACGGCATTTTCAAATAGCTTACTCATGAGCATCAGACTACTATATTTATCTAACTTCACCATGACCTTATATCATCCTGCGACTTTCAAAGGCCTACGACATCTACTGTAGCTCTGGCATGGTGGCAACTGGCAAAGTTGCAAAAAAGTAACTTGAGTTTGGGTCATTCAAAGTGACCTGGTGACCTGACCTTAAAAGTTAGGAAGTTCAAACTTGCACACCATGTGTAAAATTGATGAGAGAATAGCCGTACCAAATTTCGTGGCGCTGCGCGCCGCGGTTTTCCCGCTATTTGCGAAAAACCTCAGGGGGGGGGGGGCGGATATCCGCCTCCCGTCGGTGCGCGGGTTAATAAAGCACGCATGCAATGTGCATTGTGCATGCTGCTCGCAAAAGATTATTTATTTGCTAGCTTTGGATACCTGTGTGGTGTCAATAATTTTTAGTCCATTCATTTTTGACGGGCTGGGCCGGGCTGGGCTTTGACGCTTTTACCATGGATGGGCTCGGGCTGGGCCGGGCTGTGAACCCATGGGCCTGGGCTGGGCTGGACTGGGATTTTGCGGCCCGTGGCGAACACTGGTTGACACCTACGAATACCTGGCAGAAGGTATACTGGTTGACCTGACCTGACCCGATCTGGTCCAAATTCATAAAGATATATGTTAACCCTCGCATGACTGGGGGGGGGGAGCTCTACAGAGCCCCCCCCGGCCTTCCCGTTTTTTGACAATATCTTATAAAACGTTTCACGGATCAACACGAAACTTGCAGTACCCTCAGCCGCATCAATTTGACACCTGGTGTTAAGATTTCAATTTTTAGCTACCATAGTTTGACCGGAAATGATGTCGGCCGATTCTGATGCAAAATCGGCATGCAAACGGAAAACGCTCTGAAGAGCTTAGTTTTAAGGCTAGATCCAATTTCTTGCATCAGTGGACTACAAATACACGTAGCTATCAAACTGCTATCTCGATTTTTCAAAATTTTGAAAATTTTTAAAACATGTTTTTACAATTACAACAATATATTTGTTGATTTTTTCCCAAAAGTTTCTGATTTTTCACAAACAAAAAAAAAAACAGAATATATGTGATAGAACACACACTGATAAACTACTCTAGCAAGTTTTAGCCTAATATCTTTAAAAATAGTGAAGTAATTTGCATTGTTGTCAAAATTTTACAATTACATATTTTTCAAAACCAATTTCAGCACATTTTTGACATCGAACAGCAATATAAATGGCACCATCGTGTTCGTGAGCTCAAATTGTATCTGATAGGCACCTTTGTTGTTGACAAATTTCATTTTCAAAATTTGACCTTTTCTGACCTGAAATTGACCTGAACTCCGGTAAATTCAGCTAAAAATGACCTCAATTTACACAGACGACTTTTTTAAATCTACGTGTAAAATGGACCATAAAACATGCGGCACGTGACCGATACATGATAGGTATACAATTTTCGTGACCTAATGACCTAGGTCACGAAATTTTAGGTACCTGAAAAAAATGAAGTTAAAGTTTGGTACCCTCAGGGTATCGAAAGCATTTATCAAGGAGAACGTAAACAAAAAATGAGCCTGATCAGACTTGTCAGCCGGCGGCCAGAGCCTAAATTGTAAACAAGCAAAAATGTCAATAATTTTTACTTTGACCTGACCTGTGACGTCATCAGTGACCTCGAAGTCAATGAAAATACTCGACAGTTTTTCCAGGGCTATCAGACGCCGTTTGAATTTTGACGATCGGCCCAGTAGTTTCGGAGATAGGAGGGGGGCTCCGGAGAGCCCCCCCCCCCTTATAGTCACTCGCGTTATGGAAAATACGCCATGTCATGCACGGGTTAAAAACTAACATGATTTTCATGGTAAGCACCCCGAAAAAACCTCATAGCAGCAACACTTTACGACGTTCTAACATGTCTTGATTTTACCGACTTTTGGGTAATTGACCTGACCTGGAAGGTCAGCCAGCGACCTAATAGGTACCTTAACCCGCGCCCAACTGTTGTCTGTGTATAACAGTGGTCGGCAGGTCATTCGGGGTCGTGCCCCCCTTTTTGGGCGCCAGGCAGGGCCATTACCCCCACCTACCAGACCCCATTGCTGACACAACTAAGTTTACTGAAATTCCATACCGTCCTGGAACTCTTTGGGTATTTGTGCATTTCCAATGCATCAAATTTAAAACATGACACTTCCTCCACAAAACATTTAATGCCTATATCCCAGTAGCGGCGGAACACCTTCAATTAAGGGGGAGGGGGGAGCACTGCCGACTTTTGGTCCCATTCTTTCCATGCAACGCCCATAGGGCTGGGCTAATGTTAAAATGTAAAAATCAAAGGGTGCACGGTGCCCCGGTGCCCTCCCCGTTCCGCCGCCTATGCTATATCCCATTTAACCCTTGTACGTATAGGGACGGCGGGTGGTTTTTCGTTAAAAAGCTCACGTAAAAGGCATTGGATCACGACCAAATTGTACCCTCGAGCCCATCATTTTTTTTTCACCAGCCCGGAAAATATCATGACCTGAGACCTGTTTTACCAACAGAAAAATAACCGCCTGCCGGAATTTTTGCCTCAAGACCGCTTCACATACGGAGCGTAAACGCGATGGGCTCGTAAGCGGATAGGGCTTTACCGTTTACGCTCCATATGTGAAAGGATCTTTAGGCAAAAATTCCGGCAGGCGGCTATTTTTCTGTTGGTAAAACTGGCCTCTGGACCCATAATGACCGTTGGCTTATGAGCTTTTTCTGGAGATCATCTTGAGCCATAAAATCTCACTTCAAGAAGTTATAGCGGGTCCCGATTTTCTCGACACTTATCATTGCCCTCTTGAATGAGACGGAATGACCAAGGACCTTAAAAATGGGCAGCAGCGGCTTCCTATGGTCACGGGTAGCACGCTCGTCTTTTTTATGCACAGCCCCATATCAGAGTCCGAGAGGCCGCGGGGGTCCGATCGACTCCTCCCCCTTACGTTAGCGGCTGTTGAAACGCCAACAGACGGGCGACGGTTAAAAGTTGCAGCTGCTTTTGAACGACTGTACGGAGGGGTGAGATGGTGAGGCGAGCAGGTACGTGAAAATTGGTATCTAATCAATGTGTGCTGTGCCTTTGGCCTGGGCTAATCTTTGAACCCTGGGATGCAACAGTCACGATGGCTCCATCACTGGAGCTACAAACTCTAAAAAGA